TATTTTGTTATCTCCATATTTATGCTACTTCAGGTCTTGGATTTCCATCTTTGATATTTACTATTTGCATTGACTTTGGAGTTAAATTTGAATCTTGGGAATAGAAGTTAAGGCCACTTAAGCCCATTGGGAAGGCAAATGTAGATGTATATGGAAGACCTAGAGATAGAGCTTAGGATCTACCTTCTACTTCCAGACCTTCTACTTCTATAACTTCTACTTCTACTAATGTTGAGCCTCCATCTAGATGCTGGGATGTGTTAAGTGAGAGACATTTGGAACACCATAATGATATTTTTTGATGCAGTGTCGCATAGAAGATATGGAAAATAAATTTGATCATATGACATATTTTGTTCGGAGAAAGAGTGACTATGATGCTGATTATGATGAGGCATTAGTGAAATTCATGAAGGGAGACCATTTAGTTGAATTTCCTACATGCCCTCAATTTACACCTTTTAAGAGTCACAAGTCTACAGATGAATATATCCCCTTTGATTATGATGATGATGAGGAGGAGGAAGAGGGTTAGACTTTATTTTCTATTTTGTAGTAGTTATGATTTTTAGATCTTTCTCATGTTGGACAGTTTATGTATGTTTTTTTTGCTCTGTACTTTTATTTTCACTGCTACTTTTGTTACTCTTTTACTTAGTAATGGATATGTGTTAGAGTAGAATTTTATATTTTCAAGCTTTTTATGATGAATTTGTTTTAATTTAAATTGTCTACTACTCAGCGCTTATTTTTATTAATTGTACCTGTACTGATCTCTTGTTTAGAAATTTTAATATTTTTCCTTTTCTTTAGGCTTATTATAAGCTGAAATATTTTAATCTAATTTAAAACTTAAGTTTGGGAGAGGGAAGAAAATTTGTGTTAAACTGAACTTTATGTCCTAAGTAAAATTTATTTTCAAAAATTATTTTAATATAACCCGTGGAATGTTGAGATAACTTGAGATTACTATATTTTTGCATTTATAAATAATATAGTAAACTTAAGTAAAAAAATTCAATAATAAAGATTAATTCTGGTTTTGAGATATTTATAAGATTATGCTTTTACTATTTAAAATAAAAAAAATTATTTTTTTGAAAGTGTTAAGGATTTTTGGATTTTTATTTGAAAAGAAAGAATTGAGGCTTTATGAAAAATTTGTTTAAGTTTAATACACATTTATCAACTAAGAAAATGTGGAAGATTTTTAACTTAAGAAGAGGATGGTAAAGTTTAAAATCATCAAAGGCTATCAAGATATAACAATCCTCACATTACATAAAAAGAAAAAAAAGGGATTGAAAATGATCCTGTCAAAAAAAAGAGCAAAATATATTTGAGGAGAAGCTTGAGGAGATGCCTAATTAAAAATTGATTTCACTTAAATCATCTTAAGGAAATGGACTTATTTACATTTCTAAGTTTATTTATGAAGTATTAGCATCCTTACTACTGAAGTTCTCATGATATTCTTTTTCTTATAATTCTTCTAAGCATCTTTAATATGTCAAATTACAATTATTTTTTAAATAAATAGAAAATCAGAATTTTTAGACTTGACTATTAAATATTTTACATTCTAGTTTTAATCTAAGTTATTAAAAAACTTTCTAAAGTTTTACTATTGCACTTATAAAACAAAAATTATAGAAATCTTAAAAGAGTTACCTGAGGATAAGCAATATTTAAGTTTGGAGAAATTGATCTATAGTAAAATTATTTATTTTTTATGTACATTTTACACTCAATTTTTTAGGATATTATGTTTTAATTAAGAATATTTTAATATTTTTGCTGCAGATGCAAGCAAAAGATTTTAAGAGTAAATATGAGCAAAAGTACATCAAAAAGGAGCAAAATGGGCTAAATTGAAGAAAAGTATCAAACCAACCGAACTGGCGCTTAGGCATCAGGATCTGGCGCCTAGGCACCATTGTTACTTTCTAGAAGATTCATTGAATGAAGCCGAATTTTGAAGAGATGTCTGAAGCAACCCTTGGACATTTTTGAAGCTCTATAAATATGGATTAATTCCAAGAGGCTAGGGGGTCGGATCTATAGAGTCTCATAGTAAGCGAGTGTGTTAAGTGTTTGAGAAGTTTTCTTTGTTAGTCTTTGTTATTTCTGTATGTGAGTCTTTGTGTGTTGTTGGAGTCAGAGAAGTCAGAGAACTTCAAAGGAGTGCTTGAGAAAACATTCCAGATAAGTATTTGTATCTTTGTTTTTAAGTCTTGTACTTTGAGTTTGAGTTTTATAAAAATGTTTTATTTTGTTATCTCCATATTTATGAGTAGTTTTCTTTCTTTCTCCCTGTAATATGAAGTGATCAAGTAGGTGACTTGAATTTTTTTGGAACTTCTTTTAATCATAAAAATTGTGATGATATTTTTACTGGTCTTTCATTTACTTTATAAATTGGCCACTTGTATTGTTAAGACCAGTTAAGGAACTTATAGACCCGAAAGGGCTAAGATTTCTTGACTTGTAAGTATCGCATTCTACCTTAGAAAGAGCAATCGCGATGGTTCGAGGTGGGGTAAAAATAAATAGGGAGATAAGAGTTGATGGGTGTAGAACTGATGTTTCTAAGATGATATGCTAGATTTTTTTATCAATTTGGTTTAGAGATTGGAACTAAGGGTCACTGGTATAGAGAGGACACAATTGGTATCTAGGAGTGAGAGACTAGAACTTACCCAACACTATAGAGAGGACACAGTTGGTATCTAGGAGTGAGAGACTAGAACTTACCCAGCACTACTAAACATGCCAACACCAACTTTAGATTAACAAATGTTCTTTATGCTCGAACGAGGTAAAGAGTAGATATGCTCTTATTTATCACAATACCTTATTTAAGTTCCTAAACATATTGAAATCCTATACTGATTATGGATTATTTGTAAAGAGAAAGCATCTTTTATATATTGCTTAGAGTCATTACATATACTTTTACTTGCATTTTGTAGAAATTAGTAAACTTGATTTTCATCTTTAAATATTTACTACAATCTTAAGTAAAGTTCTCTTAAAATTAAAATTCTTGTATTTCATTTCATTTCATTGTTTTTCTGTTTTAGTCTTCCCAGTGGGATCAATACTAGGGTTCTTAAAGAAAACTCTATATTACTTGAAACGATACGTATACGTGCGTGGTACCCCTAGTGAGAAAACTATTTCTTTAATTTTTATCATATTACATTTGTTCTCACCAGTCGCTAAACATAATTTGGGTCAAGTTTTTGGCATATTAAGGAATATAAATATCTGTGTAATTGCATGTCGGGTCAGCCTACAGAATGTGCATGATCCGAAGAAGGATAAGGGATGCATCGAGTCTCTGAATGCTTAAATCCAATCGTTGCCTTCCCAACTTCACAACTGTATTGCACTCTATGCACAACTGTATTGCGAGGGGTTTCCGAACGGCACAATCCAATCGCTTCCTACCCAGGTGCGATCTAGCACAACTGTATTGCGAGGGGTTTCCGAACGACACAATCCAATCGCTTCCTACCCAGGTGCGATCTAGCCATTTCCTTCCTAGCGAGCTATAATCGGTTGTATCGCAGGGGATCATGAAGGCGATGGTATTAGGTGAACCTTAGAGTGGCAGAAGTTACTCAACAAACCCGCACTGATGATCTCCATGAGATTAGGTCAACATTTCGAAGAAGAAGATGGGATATCATGTAGTTTTTTTAGGGGGAAAATAATTATTTCCCTGCAATTTTTTGAGACTCGGTTACAAGACAAATAACATAAGTCCATCAAGGAAAGCCATAGAAATTACCAACAATAGGTAATCCTAATAGTAGAAACTAATAAGAATAATAATAATAAAAATAGCAATTATCAAAAGGGGAAAATCCCTAAAATTTTGACACGGAATGTAAAAGTTTTCTCCTCCATTTATTTCTGCCCTACCCAATCTCTTTCTCCATGATTCCAAAAAAAAGAGAAACGTCCTTGATATCTCCATTTTCCATTAAATATGAAGCACCAACCATGTCACAAAAGTTTATTGAAGCAGAAACAAAAGCTTCAAAAACTAAAAGTGCTTAATATCTGACATAACATCATGTGTCAGATATTTGTCCAGAAATTAAAATAAATTAAGAAAATATCTACACATGCATGTCGAACACAGCAAAAAGTAAAGAAAGGAATGTTTAACATGCTTGTTGAAATTTCTCTTTCGATTCAAAAATAAAAGGACAATAGCTCATATACCAATCTTATTTGTTTTTCAAATAAGTCAGCCCATACTTACGTCATGACCATAGAATTCACTATTTCATTGAAAGGATGCTCTACAATAGAGCTGAATACTGCCCAATAATGTAATTAGGAGAATAGTATGAATCAAACACGCAAAACAGTAGTGATAAAGTCTAAAATAAGAGAGATTGTTTTCTAGTAATATTGGTATTCTTTAACAGTTAAGAGTAAGAAAAAAAAAATTAAAGCAATTAAACAAACAGTACTGGAAACTTCAAAATTTATACATCTGCCGCAAAATAAGTAAAAATATCTCACATCTCAGATAAACAATACCACAAACAAGTAAGAGCATCACAGTAAGATTGGCTTAATTGGAGTCTGAAGAAGATGGCATTGTCAGCAAGCAAGCAAATTGTTGATTGTGTATGAACTCTGAAATGTAATGTATTATTGGCATAATAAAGTACAGAATTATTAACCAAAGAAAATATAGGTAACCAAGCAGCACGACAGTAATAAAACTTTCCACATACTAAACCTTTTGTACAGAAACTCAATAGAAAATAGTAGCTAACTTGTAAAAACAAACATACCATATCTTCCACTCCTTTGTGTGTACAATACCAAACGCCAAGGGCTTGATAGCAAATGTTGCCACTTACAAGCATAACCACAGAACTGCATGAGATGTCTAATTATCTGGTTGGTCACAGCGGATTGCTAAGCAACAACAGTAACTACATAAGATGGTCGTCTTGGAAACTTGAATATGATGGAAAACTTACAAGTTGGCTTTTTTTTCTTTTTTACATGTACTAAACACAATACCAGCCAAATAAACTCTTGTAGTCCAATACTTATATTTTTTGAAATTATGCAATCTGTACACTGACGAGTCACACAAAACAACTCTTTCATGCTTCCTCGCTCTTCACCGGAGTCCATGTATTTCTAAGCACAACATCCCTTCTGCAGCGAGTTAAAAACCCCATAACGTAGCCTATGAAGGCCCCAAGTATCAAAAGACCTGCTCCTTGAATATACCAATATAATTTAAGATCCTTGGCAATGCCAATCTCGCCATCACCAATCTTACAAATTTGGCCTGACTGAATCTCCACAATGTCGTGCATTTCACCGTCATGATTTCCAATGTAGGTTAGTGTTAGTTTTTCTCTTGTAGCAACAAGCTTTGTGTATCCAAATTCACCCCCACGATACATTGATTGTTTTGGCTGTGGAAAGATGGGGACGTCGGTGTGATCCGGCCTGGGCTTCCATTGAGCTTGCCAATCCTGTCCAGCCATTCCGATTACCACATGTACTGTTGCAGCCATAGGTAAAGAGCCTGAAGCAACATCCACACAGCTATAGTTTCTCAGAGGGCAGAACCTCTCATATCTATGAACATGGCCCCATAGAGCAAGGGTTACGTTGTTCTTTATCAGAAGTGGCTCCAGGTTCTCCAACATCCTCTCCCTCAATGGTGCATCCCTTACTTCATCACTTGTTGTGTACATGGGCCGATGGCCTTGGACAACAACAAATGGTGTTCTATCTCTGTTGACACTCTCCAAATCAGCTTTGATAAAATTGTACTGATCACTACCTTCAAGAAAATCAGTTTCTGTTGAAATATAGAGGAAATGAACAACACCTGCATCAAATGAGTAGTACAGATTCCGTGTATCTGGAGCTCCTGTTCCAGTGGGAAGGGAGGAATTTCCAGGCATTTTAAATTTTAGGCTATATGGAACACCACATTCACCTCCACCGTCTGTTCCAAAGAGACCCCAAGACCATGATGGCCTCCAAGGCTGTAATGGCCAGTCATACTCGTGATTACCAATGCAAACATGGTAAGGAACTCTTGAAGCAATGGGTTCTATAAGATTAAAAAATTCATCCCAAATCCAAGAAAATCCCCTAGCATAGCTGATGTCTCCAATATGTGAAATGAATGCCGGCTTATCACCTAGGCTTTCAAGATCTCGAAGAATCCACTTCACCGTTGACTTGCTCTCCGCTTGCGTGCGATAAAAAGTTGAATAGGGAACAGCTGTGCCCATGTCCCCAAAAAGAAATGCATTGGTTTCATTTGCTTCATTGTCACGAGATATGAAACTGTAAGTTTCACTCCACCCTCTAGCATCACTGCCAACCTGGACAAGTTTAGAATCAACAATGAAAATAAATTCGTCTTCAGAGAGAAAAATAGCATACGGCTGATACTAGCAGATTCCTAGAGAGAAGCAAGTTAATGAAATAATAGCTAATGAAGAGCATAGAATATGAAATAGTTAAGAAGGTTAAAATTGACTTTGTGATCCAAGAGATATTTTTTCCATGTACTGGACAAATGATAATTTCTTTGAGCGGCAATAAGATCTGGTAAGTGAGAAGTGACATTGGCATAACAATGTTAACTGAGCAAGAGATTTTTTTTCTATGAACTGGACAATGATAATTTCTTTGAGCGGAAAATAATATCTGGTAGGTGAGAAGTGAAATTGGTATAACTAATATTAACTGAGCAAGGTGGATGAGTATAGAGAAGCATAAAAACATTGGAAATAGAAGCTACAACTACTTGGGTTGAAATGAAAAAACTGCTAGAAGAGAAAAAATGTCATTTCCATATCATGATCAAATAAATACTTGATAAGTTTAATTCTTTAACATGATGGACAAAAAACTATAACAAACTATATGAAAAATTCTGAATTATTATTGTTGCATGTTGAAATGATTGAAGATTTGGGTTTAGTCCAGAGAATGAATATCAAGAGAAAAAAATAACATCTAGGTCCATATCACATTCCATTACTTAAACAAGATTTTTAACTTGCATTAGACTTTGACTAAATATTATTTTTTTTTTGTTCCTAAATATGTTACTATATATACTTCTTGCCAAAATAGTCAAATTTAGATTATTGCTCCTGATTTATCGAAGGGTTGTAAAACCATTGTTAAAAAGAAAACTAAAGGGAAAATGTGCTGCTACGACATTAGGATATAAATTTCGATAAAATCATATTTTAAATATCATCAAGCTAATGATTATAATAATGATCTAGTATAAATATGCATATTAATGTGGAGGAAAAATATTGAAATTAATAACGATGATGGTGTGCATGATCTTAAAGAATACTTTGGTGATTTTGATGATACCAAGATTGACAATTATTGAAGTCTTGTGTGATGAATCATAAATGGACCTAAAGCTAAATCTGATTGGAAATTAACCTCATCTTATATTTATTTCAAGCGTGATGATAAACTTAGAAATTTATTATACATAGTGGGAGTGGTGGTGTGAATATTGCAGCTCAATCCACAATTGATTACATGAATTTAAAATCTAAACCACATCCACAACCATCAAAGATAGCCTAGAAAAACAAACCTATTACTTTTGTGACACAGATATTTAGTCCCTATTTAACTTGCTACTATATAAATAAGATTTCATGCGATGCAATAAATGTTGCATATATCATTTTGGTTAAGCCATGATTGTATGACTTGGATGTTACTCGCATTGAAGAATAGTGACATAAGAATTCTGAAATCCACAAAAGAGCAATTCTATGTTATCTGCAAGTGACTCTAATGCTCCCCAGATTTCGAAGAATATTTTAATATTTTAAATTAACATGCTACTAGGAAAGTAAATAATAGGAGTTTCACCTATATAAAATTGTGCCAAAAAAAGTGACTCATAGAAAAATTGACTATGCCTGAGGATGCTAATCAAGTATTATCTAATTTAATAATATATGTTCTGATATTCTGATGCTCTGATAATCTTCTTAATGAATTATGACCGCATAGGGGCATGCAACATACCATTGATTTAATTTCTACATTATCACTGTCTAGCTTGGCACATAGCATGATGAACTCAATTGAACATATTTAGCCTAAATTAGAGGTGGATGGATTGCTCAAGAAGAAGTTATTAGGGAAAATATGAATTATTGTGTTGACCATACTATACTTGTTTCTAAGAAAGATGGTAGTTGGGGAAAGTGTGTAGATAATAAAATAATTAATAAAATTATTATCAAATATCACTTACTTATATCACAAGTGGACAGTATGTTGGGCGACATAGCTTTTGTTATGATATTAACTTGAGAACTTGTTATAATCAAGTGTTAACATAAGAGAAGATGAATTGTAATAATAAAAATTAAATTTGATTACATAAAACACCATTTAGGTTGAATGATGTACTGAGTAGCTCTATGCAGATGATGAACCGAAGTTGCAATGTTTTTTTGGACAATTTCTTATCTATATTTAAAAGTGCATTGCCTGGGGGCATCTTTTGTGATCTTTACAATATTTTTTGTGTTTAGTGATTAATTGTAAGATCATTATTAGAATATTTATTCATCACTAGTTTAAGCCATTACTAAATCCTGATTATTCAGAGTTATTAATATGGATTCTCTATTATTCATTTTCTTTTCTAGTGTATCTTGTTTTTATTTCTTTCCTTTCTAATAGATCTTGTAATAGGTATTTATACATCTTTTTGTATCAATAAAATTTACCTTAGGTTCTATTCTAACATGGTATCAAAGCCATGGCCTTGACCTAGCCGCCTGGCCTCTCCTTGCTCCGATGGCTCCTTCCCTTCCTCCAGCCAGCTAGATCTCGTAGTCTCTATCTCCGATTCCAGTCCAGTCGGCTAGAGCATCTTCAAGGTGTTGTTTTTAACTCTTGTCAGTCGGATGTTGGTCCAGAAGGCACGTCCTGACTGTCCAACCGCCAAAAACAGAGTGTGACTCCTCGATCTCCCTCCAGGTTCACCGGTATAGTGGTATTCTTCCCTTCTAGACAACCTGGCGTACGTCCAGTCATCAGTCTAGCCGAATAGACGTGTTTCCAGCCCCGGACAAAGGCTATTTAGCTGGGTCTCTTTCCATGATTGAAGCTTCATCCCTAAGTCGGATTAAACCACTCCTGCTTCCCGAATCGTCCGATGTCTCAACAACTCAACATCTCCTTTGAATCAGTTGGAATCATGACAGACTCCTTAAGTGAACTTGATGCCACCGGAGGATCGATTCCAACATTCGCTCTTCTATAGACAGGAGAACATAAAACAACATGAACTTCTTAATTACAAATCATAAACCAAATAATAGTAATTTTCTCCAATGGTCTCAATATGTATCCTTGTTCATCAAAAGATATGAAAAATTCGGTTATCTCACTGGTGCGATTCATGAACCTCCAAGGACTGACCCAGCATATGAAATTTCATAGTCATATCGTGGCTTATCAACTCCATGGAGACTTTGATTGGCTGATCATATATGTTCTTTCCTTTCGCTAGTGCCCTCTAGACGCAGTCCTTGATACTTACTCAAATGTAGGGAATTCCAGCAAATTCTATGAGATATCTAAAAAAATCCATGAGGTAAAATAAGGATCAACATAACCCAGTACTACAATGATCAAATTGCATTATGGATGGAATGCGACATGTATTATGACTATACCTAGGAATCTCCAGCCGACCTATCTCTCTTCCAAAGAAGTATAGAAAAGAACCGCATGTTCCAATTTTTGGCAGGCCTCAACAAAAACCCTGACAAAGTCTAGGGCCATGTTCTTGACCGAGATCCTCTTTCTTCCACTCGCGCTGCTTTCACTTAGATTTGTAGCGAAGAGAGCTGGAAACTTGTCATGCTTGGTGTATCTGCCTTGGTCTCTAATAGTGCTCAATCTCAGGTTGGTTATCCCACTTATGATTATTGTCACAAACCCAACCACACCCATGATAACTGTCGGAAGTCCCATGAGAAACCTGCATCAAAATTGTTGGCCAAATCATCCACTATCAATGGCCTTGCTACAATTTCTGAATCCAACACAGTACACCGGCCTCTACCCTTAACAATCTGAAATCCTCCAATTCTCTTAAAAGTCAAATGGAGAACTTAATCAAGCTATTTGGATCTAGTATGCTCTCTTCTGGCCTGTTGACCTCTCACCTTAGTCAAGGTATCAATTCCATGACACTCACTCCTTTTGCCTATTCTAGTCCATGGATCATTGATTCAGGTGCTATGGACACATGACTGAAAGCTCTCAAGCCTTCTCGACATACTATCTTTGCTCCAAGAAAGATATTGTTAAAATTGCTAATATGTCCCAAATTCCATTGTTGATAAAGGGTCTGTTGTTTTAATAATAGGTTTAACTCTGGAATCTGTATTACATGTATCTCGCCTAAAGTGTAACATTTTATCTATCAGTAAACTGACATATGATATTAATCGTGTTGCTCATTTTTCCTCAAATATTTGTGTCTTTCAAGATTGTCTTTCGAGAATGATGATTGGAACTGCTAAACTTCTTTCAAGAAAAAACCAGGAAGAACGAGAACACTCTACCCAGTAGTTATTGTTTATCTCAATCCACTAAATGCCCTATTATGTTGTTACATTATCGTTTAGGTCATCTTAGTTTCCAGCATCTAAAATAATTATATTCATTGCTGTTTACAAATAATAATCCTTCTAATGTCAAATGTTAAACTCATCAGTTAGCTAAACATCATCGTGTTTCTTATTCACCGCACAATTAAAAAACTTCCGCTCTTTTATTCACAATGACTTATGGGGACCCTCTCACACTGCTAACTACACCAATAAACGATGGTTCCTTTGACTGATGGACCACACTAGGATAACATGGGTGTATGCTTTAAAAGATAAATCTGAAATTGTTGTCACTTTCAAAAACTTCCACACCTTCATTTTGACCCAATTCAAAAGTCCTATTCAAGCCATTCAAATTGGCATGGTTTATGAATTTTTTAACTCTATATTGGGATGGTAAGGGCATCCTCCATCATAGTTCATGTACTAACACTCCCCAATAAAATGGGATAGCCAAGAGAAAAAATCGACATCTCCTCAACATTACTCGCTCCATTGTGTTTCACTCTAATGTCCATAATAATTTCTAGAATGATATAGTTCTTACCGCCACTTAGCTCAGCAACAGAGTTCCCTCAAAAATTCACAACATTCGTACCCCTTCAGCTGTCTTGAGATTGTGTTTTCCTAATAATTGGGTATTCTCCACTTTAAATCCCAAAATTTTTGAATGCACTGCCTTTGTTTGAAACAAA